TATATAGTAAGAAAATCCTTTAAATATAACTAGTAATAATTATAGTAAGAAAATATTTTAGGATTTTAAAGATATTAAAGTTTTAAGTTGTTCATCTCAAGATTCGATCGACCGAAAGTATATGTTTCTTCATTACAAAATTATCACAATTTTAATAAAATTTGAGCTTATTCTCTATTTCTTGCAATTTAATAAAATTTAATCACTGTTTGGTGTGGATTAAAATTAAATTTTTAGTATATTTTGATAAAAGTTGATAAAATATGTGGTTGAAAAATTGTAAATCGGAAAAATATGTGATTAAATTTAACTTAAATTTAAATGTTGTTTTTAATCTATACCAAACAAGAATTTAGTGATAATGAGAGGAGTTGTAGGATATAGACCCACAACGTACATATTAATTATTGCATCAAAGAAAATATGCAAAAAGTCATTGTTAAATCAATGTGTTATAATGCACAACAATAGCTTGTCTTTGAAGTTTTCTGTGTGAACGCGACCAACAAATAAAATCATCTTTTGCTTTTAACATGACCAATAAATAAATATAAATATAATTATTTAATCAGTCAACCGCGTTTCAAATATTCTCAAATCATCTTTTGCTTTTAATATAAGTTAGATTCAGGACTTGTTTGGTAACACTAAACATCCAATTAAAATTGAAAATATAATCGTTATTGGTCCTCACCCGTCTAATAAAAGTCAATCATAATGGCTAGTTTTTCAATTTTAATTCGATTTTAATCTCTACCAAACACACTCTCAACCTATTAATTTTAATCATATATTTCACGGGATTCATAATTTTTTATCTGCACATTTCATTAACTTTTATTAAAATTTGATTTATCAATACAACTTGTATTTTGTATCGTAACCTGGTTTAAGCGTTCAAGTATTTTATTGTAATTTCGTCATGACATTTTGCACTATAGCTAGCATTAGCAATGATCAAGTTATCTTCCTAAGTGTTTCGTGTGGATTAAAATTAGATTTTTAATAGATTTTGATAGAAATTTTTGAAATGTGTGGGTAAAAAGATGTGGAACCCATGAAAAATGTGATTAATATTGATTGTTTGACTTGGATTAAGCCTCTATTTGGCACCCATTCTCATCTCATTCTAATTTTTTTCTCTTTCTTCATTTCAACTACACATCTCCCAATAAAGTAATATTACACACAAATCTATAACTTTTTATAACTTTTCCACCACACAGTCTACCATCAATCACTATTCCAAAAATTCTATTCTCCAAAAAATGAGTGTCAAATACCCTCTAAAATCTGATTTTAATTTGTACCAAACAAGCTAAAGTTTTTTAAAACTTATTCTCCATTTTTTCCAAATTATGTCGTAAAAAGTTAATTATGCAATTTAATAAAATTTAATGATAATAATTTGAGTGGTAGGCTCTCCACACACATAAAATTATTGAATCAAATAAAATTTGCAAGCAAAAAGTTGATAATTTTAAATGCGATTTCGCAAATAGACAGAAAATAGTGCATTGCTATAATATGCAATAATTGCTTCGCTTCACAACAAATTGTTTGTTGTGTAATCTTAATGAATTCTTGTCGATGAGGACAAAATACGGCCACCAACTTCTAACTTTATGTACTCAGCCATACGTGTTTCAAATAATCTTAAACCATCTCTCACTTTTAATTGAATATAAATCGAGATCAAACACACAACTCATATTTAGCATCGCAATTAAACATAGAAAATTTAGACGATTTTGTTGGATAACTTAATCACCGAAGTCATTGTAGATCGAAAACGTTTGAGACAAGTAATGTGATGTCACAAGCTTTTTAATAGATTTATATATCCATCGCAGACCATCCAGTTGATGACTGATCGTAAACATATTTGAAAAGAAACAATGGAAAATCAATAATGAATAATGCTGCATTACTCATATGTAATATATAGTTACGATACGACCAACCTTTTGGACATAATCATCAATGTGTATCATTAATAAGTGAATTGAATTAATTCATATCAGTGAGTATGAGTAACAAGTGAACTGAATTAAATTCATGAAAAATTTAAAAACACTAAGGCCCTATTTGATTGCTACATTTTCCATGGAAAATGTCACATTTGGGGAAAACGAATTCCACTTTAATCGTTTGATTTCAACGTGAAAATTGAAATCAAATTCCAAAGTATAACTATTTTAAACTGCATTTTCTTTGTTTTCGTTGAAAATTGATTCTTATGTGTTTGATGAGACATTATTTTCCAACAAGCATGAAATTGAAATTTATTTCCATATTATATTTTTGATTTAAAAATCTAAAATTTGTATCATAATATTTTTTGATTTACTATCAAGTAAAATCTTAAAATGAAAAATCAAGATTTTGTAATAGGACTTACTTACCATAAATGCAGATATCATGTTTGTTTGACACCTTTTCAATTTCACATCTTTCAACGAAAATAAGTTTATACGCTGGCTCATAACTTTTTTTTTTCACTATTTTTGAACCGCACTTTCTTTAAAAAAAAAATTATTTTTCACTTCAAATAATCACTCCAGCAAACACGTAATAAGCGATTTAAATTTAAAAAAAATAAAAATAGTAAAATAACAAATCAAGAATTTGTAACCACTAACAACAATTTTTCCTTTTGAAATTATCATCAATGAATTTTAANAACACGACCAGGGACGGAGGGGGGGAGGGGGGGGGGGGGTGGGACGCTACCCCCCCCCCCCAACAAATTTTTTTTTAGTTAGAAAAAAAAATAATGTAAAAAAAAAACTCATGTGTAATTTTTTTTTTTTTTTTTTACGTATTAGCCTGTTCTGTAATCAGGTCCTGGATCCGTCTTTGATGCTACATAAAATAATTTGCTGAAATGTCCTTGACACGTCTTATTCCACGTGGCATCCCGTACGGTCAACGTCTCAAGATTGACGCCACTGGGTCCCACACCTGTGCCATTTCATCAACAGAGGGTATTATCGTATATTTGTCCAACTCCAGTGGGAGTTTATGAAACTCCTCGCCTCCTCATTATTTGTCCTTTTTCTCTCCTCTCTCTATCACTATATAGTCACGCTCCCACAGAACTCTCCCGGTGTTTCCTTTCATTTTACGGAATTTTTCTCTCCATATCTCGAATATCAGCTACAGTGGTGAGTTTTGTTGGTTTCACGGCACCGATTTTCAGGTAAAAAAAAGCCAGAATTGGGGTTTGTTGTTTATTTATATATACTATTAAAAAAATGTGTTTAGTGCCTGCTTGACATTGATTTTTACCCACAAAAAAAAAAAATGATAAAATTTGGTGTGTTCTTGAAATGCGTGGCTAAAAAATAAATAAAGTTGTGTGTTGAATAAAATGTCAGGTTAAAATTGAAGTTTGATCTATTTGACTGGCTTTTTAGTAACAAGTAGTCAGGTTATGTGCCGTTTTGACCTATGTTTGTTTGTATAAATGTTAGATCTAGTTAGATCTGAGTTTTTTTTAATGTTTTTGATAGTTTTATTTGACGACGATCAGGTCTTAGATTTTTGCTGAATTAAATTTCTAGGTTAGGAAGTGGGTTTTTATAATGTTTATTTACTAAGGTTTTCAAGCTGTTTGATGTTTTCTTACTAGTTTTTGTGATTCTTCTACGTTTTTGAAGGATTTTTATTCAATTTGTTTTTATTTCTCTTTTGTATGGGTTGTGAAATGTTTCGTGTTTCTTTGCTATTAGGTTTTATTTTGTTTCTCTTCATTCTTTTAGATCTTTAACATTTTTGACTCACTACACTTGTGCTCATTTTTTTTTTCTCATTTTTGGCAACTTTGTTATGTAATTTTTGGCGGTGTTTCTCATGCCATTTTTGGAATTCTTAAAATCCACATTTTCCAAATTGTATGTTGAAAATGTTAATTTTGCTTGTAAATTTCCAGATTGTTTGATTAACATCATTTTGTAGTAATAAATGGTTATATCTTCTATTATATATCTTAAATTTCGTTTGAACTGTCTTATCGTCTGTAATTAGGGTATACTTATTTATATTGGGAAAAACTATACTTATTCTGGTTAATCAGAAGATTGGTAAATGTTTTATACTAAAATTGAATGTTCTGTAATTTATGAAATGGACCTTTTTGGCCGTTTGATTTCATTAATGTGTGTTTGCAGAGGGTTGTGTTCTCCTACACGTTCCTCAATCTATTGTTAAGGATATTAGCCTGGTTACGTTCCTGTTGTCTATTCCAGTTTTGGCACCATCATCTGTCTTTGAAGCAAATTTGGTTTCGTTTGAAACGAGTTGTATTGAAGCAGCCTTGGTTTAAGTTGTCCTGTTTATCTGATCTATTGTGTACTTTGTTTTGTAACTAATATTGTTGGGTTTACATTTAGTTTGGACAGTGGTACATTTATTTTCGAGTCGTTTCACGAGCACGAGTTTTTTTTTGGCACAATTGTTGTTGTGCCATAAAAGTGATATTTTTTTTGTGGTCTCATAACCTTGCTGTTATTCATCTGGAACTGCATGTTGTCAAAGCATTCACGTTTAATAGTTTCTGTTGACCTCACTGTGTAGGTTTTAACATGGTGAGGAAGAGGCGTACTGAACTTCCTGGTGGAGGTGAAAGCTCGGAGTCTCAGGAAACTGGAGGAGGACGTGGTGCTGCCCAACATCCACCGGCACAACAGCTACCACAACAAGGTGGATATCAAGGTGGAGGAAGAGGATGGGGACCCCAGCGTGGAGGGCGTGGTGGGGGTGGCAGAATCCCTCCACAGCCATATCATGGCGGGTCTCCTGAATATCAGCAGCAGGGTCGGGGCAGTCAGCAATATCAGCGAGGAGGACCGCCACCTCAGCGCCGTGGTGGCATTGCAGTTGGCCGTGGATATGTGGCAGCTGCAGGTGGGCCGTCTAGGCCACCAGCTCCCGAGCTGCACCAAGCTATGCAGGCTCCATATCAAGCCACAGTGACCCCCCCGCCAGTGCCATATGGCAGTCCTGCAGGCACTTATGTGGAGGCTGGCTCTTCATCTCAGTCACCTGAGCCAACACCTTCAGAAGTGACGGAGCAGATCGAGCAACTGGGAATCCAGTCAGAAACTCCAAGCCAAGCAATGCAACCTGCATCTAGCAAGTCAATGAGATTTCCTCTTCGGCCTGGAAAGGGTAGCTCTGGCACCAGGTGTGTTGTGAAGGCTAACCACTTTTTTGCTGAGCTGCCTGATAAGGATTTGCATCAGTATGATGTGAGTTATATCTGCCTTTGGCTACTTCTGATTCTTGTCAATTTTTTGTTAAATATTCCACTTCCTACAATTTTATCACGTGTTAAACTCTAATTCCTGCTCTGTGAGTAATAGGTATCTATTACACCTGAAGTCACATCCCGTGGTGTCAACCGTGCTGTGATGGCGCAGTTAGTGAAGCTATATAGGGAGTCTCATCTTGGAAAGAGACTTCCAGCCTATGATGGAAGAAAGAGTCTTTACACTGCCGGGCCTCTTCCTTTTGTCTCAAAGGAATTTAAAATCGTGCTTATTGATGAAGAAGATGGTCCTGGCGGTACAAGGTCCTTAATACATCTTAGCTGTTACTTTTGCCTGTTTAGGATCCTTCAATGATTCTGAGGCAATGCTTTTTTAATATTTTTGTTGGATGCAGAAAGGAGAGAGATTTCAGGGTTGTAATCAAGTTGGCTGCACGTGCTGATTTGCATCATTTAGGGATGTTTTTACAAGGCAGGCAAGCTGATGCGCCCCAAGAGGCTCTTCAGGTTTTGGACATTGTTCTGCGGGAGTTGCCAACCAGCAGGTGCATGTTACTGCCTATTTTATTCCTTTTACCTATATTATTAATTTCCTTGTTACTTTTGTACTAATTTTTCTATTGCATGTAGGTATTGTCCTGTTGGTCGCTCATTTTATTCACCTAATTTAGGGAGAAGGCAGCCTCTTGGTGAAGGCTTGGAAAGTTGGCGTGGTTTTTACCAAAGTATTCGCCCCACTCAGATGGGATTGTCACTGAATATTGGTAAGCATGATTCTCGTTGAATCAACTTATTTTATATTTGTTAAAAACCCTCCCTTGTATTGTTGGAAATAATTAGTTAAATTTTTGTTTTGCTAATGAGTGAACTAATTACTAACTTTTTGTACACTGATTTGTTTAGCCATGTTATTTGACTACGATCTTTTGCTTCCTTTTTTGCAGATATGTCATCGACTGCTTTCATCGAGCCACTCCCCGTGATTGACTTTGTCACACAGCTTCTGAATAGGGATGTTTCAGCCAGACCATTGTCTGACGCTGATCGTGTGAAGGTTAGATAATGTACTTTCTCCATATATATGATGAAGACAGTTTGGCTGCATTTATGCTTTAAATGTTGTTTTCCAAATTTACCTTGTTCACTGTACATTCAGCTATCGTTTGAACTTCATACATGGGCTTTGTGCTCTTTGATTCAATTTGGATTGGCTGGGCTGTTGGGAAACACAATGATTTAGGCTGTTGTCCAACACAAACATGAGCCTGGTCGTTTGGGCCGGAAAATAACACCCATATTGGATTTAGCTGAGATTTGTGCTTGTGTTTGTTTGGTCTAATTTTGTTTCATCCCATTTAATATCGCGATTCATCTTTTCTTTTCAATTATGTTGGAAAACTCTGTAAAATTTAATATATAATCAAAATGATTATTTCAACTAATCTCATTTGCTCTCTTCTTGAAACCTCTTTTAAACCCTAACATTGAAGTGTAAGTGTATGTTTTTTATTCGTAAATATCCATATTCTCATTTAATTGGTGTTCAGCCAAGCTAGGCCGAAAGTTCATACAAATGGATGACCTGAATTGGGGCCGTGTTTTTATGTGTTTCGATGGGACCGTTTGGGCGCTAAGGTAAAAAAGAAGTGTGGAGTAACCTTGGCCCTGGTCATAAAGTAACAGTTCCAAGTTCGGTTGAAATGTTATGTTTCCTGGCGGAGTTTTCTAATTCCTTTCTTTCAAGACAATGGAGTTTTCTTTAATCTGTCAAGATCAAGCATTTCTTGAATTTAGCTGATATAGTTTATGTATTCTTAGGGATACATCCGATAACTATCTAGTTTTATAAATGTTACTCAAATCACAGATCAAGAAAGCACTTAGAGGAGTAAAGGTGGAGGTTACTCATCGAGGAAACATGCGCAGGAAATACCGCATCTCTGGTTTGACATCGCAAGCTACGGGAGAATTAACGTAAGGATCACTAATTGTTTGTCAATTAAGTTAAAATTCTAGCTTCAATAAAGACCTGATTAATCTTGAAGCTTAGGCATTCCTCCTTTAAGGGATCTGTAGTTTGGCCAATTGATTTGACCTAGCAAAGTTCCAAATAGCTTTAGGCCTTCTTATGACCCCAAATTCTCATTATGTGTGACCACTGTTGGATTGAATTTATTATGATCGTGATTTAGGTCTTTATGCAGTTGTCTGATATACTTTTTCCTGGCCTTGTTAGATTTCCTGTTGATGAAAGGGGCACAATGAAATATGTGGTTGAATACTTTCAAGAGACCTATGGGTTTATCATTCAACATACTCAATGGCCTTGTCTGCAGGTTGGAAATCAGCAGAGGCCAAATTATTTGCCAATGGAGGTCAGTAGTTTGTGTAATTTACTAGCTACCTTTGTTGCCCAACTTAAATATGGTCTTTGGGAGTTGGACATATGCATGGATTTGAGTGGTGGACATGTGGCTTGTCAAATTTTGGGACCCAAGTCAAGATTCTTTATTTCGAAATGGATACGGGGACACATTATTCATAAACATAGTGGAGATAGTTTTAGACTTATAGTATGTTCTAAAGATGTTGATAGTATATTACTGTCATAGTTATGCATTTTGATAAAAAATTAATAAATGTATGTGTGCGCTGACGCATGTTAACTGAAAATATGAGATGAGAGATGTGTACCAAAGTGTTCGTGTAACGCAATTAGCTAAGCCCTTGTTTGATACTCATTTTTTTCAAATACATTTTTCTCTCTTCTTTTCAACCACATATTCTTCAATAAAATAATATTATACGCAACCCAAAATTTTTTCCTTCATTTTTAACCACACATTCTCCATGAATCTACTATTCCAAAATGCATTTTACACCAAAAGTTGGGGCTCAAACAGGCCCCAATTTTCTTAGATTATTAGGGTACTAAAAGATTGTTTTATAATCCAGGTCTGCAAGATCGTAGAAGGCCAGAGGTACTCCAAGAGATTGAATGAGAGGCAGATTACTGCACTGCTCAAGGTCACGTGTCAGCGTCCCTATGAAAGGGAGCGTGATATTCTTCAGGTTGGTTTTATTTACAAAAAAAGTATATTTCTTTTTTTCCAATTGCTTTGATTTAATTTACGGGATATTTGCTTTCGATCGTGTTATCGATACAACCACATAGTTAGGTTTTGTGTGGAGGGGTATGAATGATGGGAAGAAGAATATAGTACTGTATGTATTCCACGTTTTAGTTGTAGTTGTAGTTGATGCTACTTTTATATCAATTGTTATTGTAAATATCTTGTATGATAGCTTGTACAGATGCATGGCCAATTAGCTTTGTGAGTCATGTTATTCTTGTTTGGACCCAATTTAGTTAGGTACCTGTCCAGTTTTGGATTCGATAGCCATCAGATGATCTTCACCAGTTTAATCCATAATATTCTTGCAACTGATCGATATATTTCCTTGTCAGACTGTACATCACAATGCGTATGCTGAGGACCCTTTTGCCAAGGAATTTGGAATTAAAATAAGTGAGAAGCTGGCTCAAGTTGAAGCTCGCATTTTGCCTGCTCCTTGGGTAATTGGAAACTCTTATCTTTGCTCCTGCTGAATTGCTATATTCTTGGTCTGCAATTTTTTTTAATATTCTGTGATGTTTCAGCTCAAATATCATGATTCGGGTCGGGAGAAGGATTGTCTGCCCCAAGTTGGACAGTGGAATATGATGAACAAGGTAACAGCCATATTAAAATGGTCTTTCTTTTTATGGTAATTTATCAAACACGGTGCATGAAATAATACGAGGGGTTTTATGTAATAGGGAAGACATCCGTTGAGTGCAAATATGTGAATCAGGCCGGAAGACTTACTGCTCGTGTTAAATTTTTATTAGTTTTAGTCGTAATACTTGCTGATCATCTTCACTTACACATGGTGTTGATTTGTTTATTCTTTTTTGGACCTTGCCTGGCATACATGATAGCTTTAAAATTGCAACATGTCATGTTTTTTCAAATATTGGAAGCAAATATTTGTAATTTATTTACTTTCTAGGCAGATTTTATGGACGGAAGGTCCATTGTTATTTGATTTGAGCTTGTATATTTCTGCTTCCTCGAAAACCTTAATTTTAACTTGTGGTGCTGTTAATTTTTCTCTGGAAATTTTATTTTTTGGTTGGTGTCATGCAGAGGATGGTTAATGGTGGCACAATCAACAGCTGGATGTGCATCAACTTTGCCCGCAATGTGCAAGACAGCATGGCACGCAGTTTTTGCCATGAGCTTGCTCAAATGTGTATTACATCTGGCATGGTGATGCCATTTGAATTCTGTTGTGTCTTGCAGTATTTGCCTTCTTAGTTTTATTTCTCTCTGATTTTATGTTTTTCTCTACAGGCTGTCAATCCGGAGCCTCTCTTGCCAGTTGTGAGTGGCCGCCCTGATCAGGTGGAAAGAGTCTTAAAATCTAGGTTTCATGATGTCGTGACAAAACTGCAGCCCCATGGAAAAGACCTTGACTTGTTAATTGTTATTTTACCTGATAATAATGGCTCTCTCTATGGTACGACAGGATGAATATCCGAACATATACGCCTTTTCTTTTTTGCGAATGTGGATTCTTTTTTTTTAACTGATTTTTTTATTTGTTTGTTTGCACAGGTGATCTAAAACGGATATGTGAGACAGATCTTGGCATTGTCTCCCAGTGCTGTTTGCAGAAGCATGTTTACAAGATGAACAAACAGTATCTCGCCAATGTGGCCCTGAAGATTAACGTGAAGGTTGGAGGGAGAAACACAGTGCTGGTTGATGCCATTTCTAGGCGCATACCCCTCGTCAGTGATCGGCCTACAATCATTTTTGGTGCTGACGTTACCCATCCCCACCCTGGCGAGGACTCTAGCCCATCCATTGCTGCTGTAGGATGCTTTATTTGACCACTTCAAGTTTGACACGTCTACTGTTTCTTTTTCTCGGTGGAGATGTCTTATGATTACTGGCGTTTCTTTTCAGGTTGTTGCTTCCCAAGATTGGCCGGAAGTTACAAAATATGCAGGTTTGGTCTGTGCTCAAGCCCATAGGCAAGAGTTGATTCAAGATTTGTATAAAACCTGGCAAGATCCGGTTAAAGGGACTATGACTGGTGGCATGATCAAGTATGCGAACACCTAGGAAGAAAAATTTCTTGATTCTTTTTACAATATAGCTAAGAAGCACCAACATTGATACGAGTGTTAGACATGACCCGACACCGATGCCAGCACAATTTTTCAAAAATATACTGACAACACTTTCTTACATACTATTTTTTTCTTTTTTATTTTATATATAGTGAAGTAAATTTGTTTTCTTAATTCCAGTGTGTCGACAATGTATCTCCTAGCGTGTTGGTGGCATATCCAGCCTTACAAAACAAAAAATAATTGGGGCATGCCCACCTCAGGTTTTTGACACGTCTACGACTTGTCGGTTTATCTCCTAGTGTGTTGGCAATGTGTGAGCAACTTGTTCTACTAAATAGAATAAAAATAATAATTTGGACATGCTACTTTGTATTGTGGGTGTCTTATTGCAATGTGACAGTAGTGTGTCTAATTTTACAAAATCAATGATAATTTGGACATGCTACTTAGCATTTCTTACATGTGTCGGCAATGTGTCGGTGTCGGACTCGTTGGCCTCGGGATGTTGGTGCATTCTAGCAATATAGCGATCGTCTGCTTTATAATTATTGGGAAATTGTAATCCAACGTTTTTGTGGCCTTAATCTTTGTGCTTCTATTGTTCAGAGAACTACTTATTTCTTTCCGTAGAGCAACTGGACAGAAGCCACAACGAATTATTTTCTACAGGTATTATCGAATAACGTTTCTATTAGTCTGTCTTGTGAAGTACCCCTTCTACTGTCTCCATGTCTCTTTTCTTTCCCATTACTATGTCTACTCCATTTCCAGGGATGGTGTCAGTGAAGGGCAGTTTTATCAAGTGTTGCTTTATGAACTCGACGCAATCCGTAAGGTAAATTTCCTTGTAGATTTTTTGCATTGTCATTTAGGTGTCTAATAATCAATTTACGATTTTAAGGTTGTATGTTTGAAAGCTAATTCTCGTTCAACCCGATTCAGGCATGTGCATCTTTGGAACCAAACTATCAGCCCCCTGTTACTTTTGTTGTGGTTCAGAAACGTCATCATACTAGGTTGTTTCCCAATAACCATCAGGACAGGCATGCAGTTGATCGAAGTGGAAATATACTCCCTGGTACACGTTTTGACTTGATTTCTCATTCCTGTTAGTTTTAATTTTTCTTAGTTGATTAATTATTAAAATGCCATTCCTTTTTCTTGTTTCTATGAATTTTTACAGGTACTGTCGTAGATTCTAAAATCTGCCACCCTACTGAGTTTGACTTCTACCTCTGCAGCCATGCCGGGATACAGGTATCTCTCCATACTTTACCTAAATGGAATTTCACTCTCTCCTTGATGGACTGATTAGGATCCATTTGGCTGCAGGGTACTAGCCGGCCAGCTCACTACCATGTCCTATGGGATGAAAACAAATTCAATGCTGATGCTCTTCAGTCGCTTACCAATAACCTTTGCTACACGTAAGTGCTTGTCGTCCATTCTTTTACGAGTTCTTAGCATTTGTTCTATGCTGGATTCGATCAGACGGTACAACAAACAATTCCAAGCTGAATAATACAACCTACCAAACAAGCATATTATGGTACGATTGCTTATTGGTTTCATTTTCAACTTTTGTAGATATGCAAGGTGCACACGCTCTGTTTCGATTGGTAGGCTTCTTTTCATTGGCTTTCCACATTTTTCATAAAATATATGTTGCTTATTATTCTCATACTCTTGACAGTGCCTCCTGCATATTATGCCCATTTGGCCGCTTTTCGTGCACGCTTCTACATGGAGCCGGAAACATCGGACAGTGGGTCAATGACAAGTGGGGCTGCTGGTCGAGGCGCAGGTCCAGGTCCAAGGAGTTCAAGGTTTCCTGGAGCAAATGCTGCCGTTAGACCCCTTCCTCAGCTCAGGGATAACGTGAAGAGGGTGATGTTCTATTGTTAAGTGTGTTCTCAACGTTGATGATGCTTAGTCATTAACTTGTTTATCGAATTGGATTATTTAACCGACTGAATCTCTGAAACATGGTTTGTATCTTTTGTCGAATTTGGGTGTGCTGCAATGACGTGTGGTTTGTAAGAAACGTTATTTGTTTTTTAAGGCTTTTGGAGTTTTTTTAAGTTAATATTAGACCTTTTTGAGTTTTGCCTGGATTATCTGAGTTTAAAGGAGCTGGACAGCTTCCAACGTCACTTTCTGCTAAAACCATAAAACCTTAAGAGGGGAAGTTTGTTACCAGCTGCATCTTGCGACACCTCTTTCTATTAACAGTATCATGTATCTGTAAAGGACTTTGCTAAGTGTACACCGGGGTGTCAAACCTGGTGTACAAATAGCTTGACACCCCGGTATACAAATAGCAAAATCCATTTGTAAAATGGTAAGCAGGAGGATCTTGCTCTGTCTATCAAGATTTGCATAATAGATTACATAATACTACACGACACTCTTATCATTTGTTAGTTTAAAATATAATCAATTTTTTCATTAAATTTTATCCCTTCAAATCATATTTTATAATCCATTATGTATATTTTTTACATACAAGTAACAAAATTCTTGTGAGTAACCCACACATTAGAGTCGTATGTTCTAGTATTGAGGCTATTACCTCAATCGCTTTCTTAGATTCGTCCTCCAGGGCATATTGTAGAAATGCAAAGTCCCTTAGTCCATTTGCAATTTTATTCTTCGCCAAATTTACTACAATAACGAACAAGTATGATGATCAGTTGTGTTATTTACCCGGCAATCTGATTTTTAGTAGAACAGAAAACATTTTGTAGTTTTGACATCTAGACCGCTAAAAATATGGAAGCATTTCTACATTTTGTTGAAATCATAGAAGGTGGAGACAACAACCTTTGTTGCGACAAATCAACTTTCAAAAGCTCTTTTATCAATCACATTTTCGGTCCCTCCCATCAAGTTGAATACCTCTATAAGCCCCCCGGGTACACAATATATAAATGGATGGTGTGAGATCAAATCTATAAAGTCTCGAGACATTACCTCTAGCACTTAGTGTACAATCATAATCTTTTTTTCTAGAGATTTTTACAGAAATATACATACAAGTCCAAGCCCAAATAAAACATAATAGATGTAATTATTCTCACCTATGACGTATAATTTTTGAGTTCATATTATTTTATGTTTATTGGAGAAGATAGTAAGTCGAAGAGGTGATGGGGTGTAATGTGTGAAATTCTTGCAGTTCGTTCGATCATACAAACAAACTTTTGATCTATTCCCAAACGAGATCAATTCACTTTCAAGCAAAGCTCTCTACGCCCTCTCTACTCCCACACTCCAGTTATCATAGATTTACCTCGACCTGTCCCTACTTGAAAGACTGATACTACTGCTTGAAATTGGATGGATTTTGCGTTGCGTTGGTTTGGTTACGTTGAAGTACCATGTAATACCATAGGATCTTTCCTTTTACAAGACATTTCTAGGATTTCTCCCATTGTTTTCATCTCAATACATTCGATTCATATATCTTAATATAGAATCAGTAAAAACTGTATTCAACTAGATCAAGCCACCAACACATTACGAAATGCATAGGCAAGACAATGGGTGACAGAATTTCTAGTTGTAGAGAGACAGTGAGACAAAAGGCCATTAGAAGCTTAGATCATTTCCACAATTCAGTCCTTGATTTCTTTCCCACAGCTTCTTAGGCTCAGTAGGATGGACGGCATTAGCTCATTATAAATGGACAAGAAAGTTTACAAGGCAATTTGAATAAAATGCCATTACCTAAAGTCTAATGCCTAACACGTGGTATTGAGGTTGTAAATGTGCAAAAAAGCTATACTATACAAGTAAAGAGACACATGCCAACACCACAAGCCATTCAAATTAATTAGGCCCCGTTCTCTTTACCATTTCCAAGTTGTTTTTTATTTTCGATTTTTCAAAATAGTGAAAACGCAATCTCTTTCCTATTTTCAAGAACGTGTTTTTGAAAATGATAAAAAAATTACCAAGGAAACTGAAAATGACCAAAACCACGTTTTGGAAATTTTGAAGCCAAAAACGGTGATTTTCACAAAACACGCGAAACAAAATCTCCCTCCCTCTCTCTCTCTCTCTCCCCTGTCAAAATTTCAAAATTTATATGTTATTTAATACTATATTAACATTAAACCATTAAAATTTATTGAATAATCAGATTTTTTGAATAAAATATTATTTAAAAAAATTCTCAAAATTTCAAAGTAAACGCGTTTTCCATTTTCATGTTTTCAGAAACAGTTTTTCAGAATGGCAAACAGAACGCATTTAACTAGTGACAGAAAAAATATACGTCATTATCAACAGAGATGTATCACGAGGAATGCACGATATCATAGAGAAGCATTATTCACCTGCATCTCTGCGCTGCAATATTAAGCCACAAATGAAAATCTTATGATTCCATTGAGAAAACAAAAATGTTATTCATCAGTCACAAATTTGAGTAAAATCCAAATCTCCCAGATAAATTAAACCATTACTCCAAAAACATGTGGCAATAAATCGTACAAAGTTTTCGAAAAACCAATTCAAGTAGCTGACTCCAAATTTAATGGAAATAAAGCTTAGTTGTTTCTGTATATACCATACTGTTGATTAACAACCCTGGTCGTTCCACAAAATTCACACGTCATGGTCTATAACGTTTAGTATGAATTTGATTTTAACAACTTCTCTACTGTTTTTCAATGATAAATATGAATATTGAAGTCAAGGATGTTGAAATCATAAATTTCACACTGACGACAGTCAATAAAACAACTCAGAGGGAATAGCCTGATCTAGTTGCAAAGCATTTGATTTCATTTGATCTTTCTACATACGTAGTAATGGATCATATAGAACAGATAAAAAGGATTCACACTGCTGTCCTATCAAATATTGAGAATATAACTTAGTTATCTGTTGACAAGCAACATACTAAAATTTCAAAGCTCAGTTTAGGTATGTATATAGATAGAAGAAAGCAGATTTCTAAAGAGAACACAAATGCTCAAAAGAAGTAACGATTCCATATCTATACTCAAGAAGTGCATCATTAGAATTGGCGATATGATATATAGCACATTAGATGCAAATCTTACCATTCGCTTGCTGATATAAGGCTGCAACGAGATTGGCTTCTCCGATTGACTTTCAACCTCTACAGATGATTTATTCTCCATGTGAAATTCTTTTCTAGATTCTTTTCGGGTACCCGATTGCCAAACTCTACCAAAATTAGGAAGCCAATTAGCATCAAAATTATTGGTGACCAGCTCACCCTTCTTCTCCAGCTCCAGCTCTTTCTTTCTTCTCTCTGCCCAAGCAGCTCCAACCCGTTTTGGATTTAATTTTGAGCACTTCCCTGAATGGGAAACAGAATTGCTCAGATCTGGTTTTAGCCTAACATTCAGTTTATTTCCTTCAGTTTCACCAAACCAAGGAGGAGGTGCTCCAGTATGAACATTTCCTTCAGTTGCTTCTCGGGGTGAGAAAGCTATTTGCGTAAGGTCTTGCAAAACTGTACAAGGAAAAAAACCGTTGTCAAATTGCATTAGTGAATAGACACAAAAAATGTTCTAACAATAAACTTGGCAGAGTAGAAATAAGATTGACTGCATGATTCCCATTAAATGGTCAGTAGCATTTAAATACATAAACAACTAGACTATGATTTAAAAATCGAGCATGAAGCTAAAAAGATACATTCCAGAAGGAAAGGAACAGTAGATATAGATCTTACCCTGAGAACTTCTCTCTCCATTAGCTGTTCTTTCACCAGGGTATACCTGCTAAAGTTGCCAACGATGGTATCATACTGATAATATAATTATTATATTCACTGGAGTATTTACTGAAATACAATGCAGTCAACTATCAAATTGACGCAGAAACAATTTATCAAAGAACAAAAATAGCAGCAAAAAATATCAAATTCAAAATCCTAGTTCAGTTATGCTTGAAAAACAGTACTGCTTGACATGCAAACATCCTAGAACTGCTAAAAAAAGACATTGGAAGTTCATATTCTTGCCAGTTCACTACACTTAATGCAAGAGTACTCAAAGAATCAAAGCTAGTGCCGAGTAATGAAAACCATATTTCCTAAGGTCTCTTCTTTTTCCTCAAATAATATATCAGCCGAATTTGCTAAATTGGTGTGTTCTCACGGACAGATAACTTGGAAGTTTATCAAATGCCAAGTATCCAGGGCTAGAATCTCTTCATTGGTAGCTTATGCTTCGTTATTCACTCCGTGCTGCTAATCTTGATTACGATTAATATACTTACAGTTAAATATTATTTGCTCTTACAGAGAATTTTATGACTCACGCCTCACAGCAAACTTCTTTGCCTCATTTGGCACCAACAACAAGCCATCAAAATTGCTACCCCCCCTCTCACCTCCTTCCAAATCCAAACAGCTGTTCTACTGGCCAGTTAAAGTTATTGTTAGGAATGTGCACAAGGTTCAAATGATCTCATTTATCATGCAACTGTACATGAACTCAAACTTCAATGAAGTAGAAAATTTGATTAAAATTTTAATATTAAACAATTTCCAGGCAAAGCAACTGATATGATATTTGACACTTATCTCTTGCAATTCTCCATTCCCTCCCAAGACCCCCTTCACTGAGTGTAGTGTGTATTTTTTTTGGTCTTCCAGCTTCCTTTCTCCTTATCTTATATCTCTTCCCCTTCTCTCCCCACAAACAATTTTCCTGGCAAAGCAACTGATATGGTATTTGACACCTATCTCTTGCTATACTCCATTGCCTCCCAAGAACCTCTTCACCGAGTGTGTATTTTGTGGTCTTTCAACTTCCTTTCTCCCCATCCTTATATTTCTTCCCCTTCTCCTCCACCTCTCGGCATATTTGGTTACCCAAAACTACCCCCCAAGTCAATCTTTTGACTTTCATTTTCCTAGG